CTTATGGACACCAAACAGTAGATCCCTTTGAACATGAACAGGACTTTGTCAAACCTCAGAAGCATGCTGAAGGGTTTCCTCAAGAAAAGTTCCTGGCAATGATGTCCTGAAAAGTAGTTCTCAGACGTGGTGGAAATATGACTGGATATCAGTTTTTCTCTTAAACTGGCTTAAAAAGATGTCTGGACACGAAGGACACTTAATGACTCCTTTGCTTCTTATCAGCAGACATCAGCCAAGCCTTGTGACACACCAGGACCGGATGAATTAGGGTGGGTTGGAAATAAAAGGATCAAGAGAAAGGAAATTGAATGAAAGTGGTACTGTGGGAGGAGACAGGGGAGAAGAACAGTTAAGAAAAAGTGCCTTCCCTGTGTTTTTTTTCCCTACCACCTTTAAGAAAAACTATAGTAGCTTCACATTAATTTAAAATAACATTCAAAGAGCTTCCTGCCTTACATAAGCTGACCTCATTTCCATCTGCCTCCACGTCAACCCGATTCAAGCCACACTGGCCCTCCTTTCCATCCAGCAAAAATGCCACCGTCCTTCCCATGGCAAAATGCGCCACGTGCTGGCCCTTCTGCTTGGATCAGGCAGGCATGGATCATCACGTGGCCAATGTCCTTCTGAATTACCATCAGGTTTCATTTCAAATGTCACCTCCTGGGAGTTCTAGCTGAAGCCACCCCTTCCCAACACTTGCACCACACTGAGCAGTTTGAGGAATGACCTCACTCTTCATTGGTGTATGTGCTCATGCAGGCCTGCATTCGTTCATGCATGCGTCCACGCCTGCATTGCTTCACTCATGCCTGCATTCACTCATGTGTGGTTTCTTCATTCACGCCTGCATTCCTTCCCTCATTTGTTTATTCATGTATGCATCCCTTCATGCCTGCATTCACCCATGTCTGTGTGGTTTCTTCGTTCACGCCTGCATTGCTTCATGCACTCATTTGCTCAATATGCATGCATTCCTACATGCATGCAGTCATTCATTCATGTACGCATGCATTCATTCACACATGGATTCATGCACTCATTCGTTCATTCATGTGTTTATATGTTGCTTGTCACCTTCTGTCTCTACTGAGGACAGAGACTCTGTCTTCACAATGTCTTCTCAGGATCTAGAATAATGCTTGACACTTAGCAGGAACTTCATAACTATTTGCTGAAGAATGGCAACAAAGGAAAGGACTGTGCGCTTTGACAAAGTGACAGAGACAGAGCCCTTTGGGAAGAGCTTACAAGAGATGTTTCTAACTGAGCGACTCCCTGGTCCTGAAAGAGAGTCCTAGTGTGCGTGTGAGGAGCCTGAAGCCTCGGTCTGGTCCCTGCTGGAGTCACTGACTATTCCAAGCTGCCAGTTACACATAGTGCAGAGCCCGGGTCCCCACACATCAAGAGGGCAGTGTGGGGCGTCAGAGCCTGGAGCTGAAGATTAATGAGATCTGGACTTGCAGTGTGGCTGCATTCTCCTCATCCGAACGAGAACGGTGTAACTAATGTAACGACTCAAGGCTACACTACCAGTCAGTTTGGAAACTAGAAGGTTACTGGGTAAGGTGTCGGTGTCGGTGTCAGTGTCAGTGTCAAGGGCTTGGAAAGGCATTTGTGCTGAAGCCTAGCACCATGTGCTTCTATGACCTTGGAGTTCCCACTTTCCTCAGTACCCAGAAAGGGGGCTCTTCAGGGAAGTATCAAGCAATACCCCGAGTTCGCCAGAGTTCCTTTCCCTGCTTCAGCTTTGGATTCAGCTCTCAAGGCAGATGGTCCTTTACCGGCTCCTCTCTGCCAGCTCTTGCACACCAGCACAAGGCTGGCCTGGACCATCACCTCGTCGGCAACCCAGCCCGAGAAACGGACAACACATTCAACATGTCAGTACTGGACCTGGGCTCACGTACTCCACCGTTTCACTTTACAGAATGACCTTGGTCAGAAACGAACTTAGGGCCCAGCTCTGGTCGAGTGAAGTGCGTGGAGAAGGAGGTTATGTGTTTAAGATGCAAGGGCAATGGCCTTGAAGCCAGCTTGGAATGGGTATAACAAATCACAAGCCAGGTGGGAAGGTATGGGAGGAATGACTCTTGGAGCTTCTAGTGAAAAGGGAAGGGTTAAGGAAGGAAAATGAACATGGCTGGTGAAGAGAAGCCCAGGGAAGGACGAAATAGGAATGTGGTGTTGGAGAAGCACCAACACAGGCACAGCCACCCAGTGCAGGTTCAGTTCTTGCTCAAGGGGCCCGGATCAGAAGCAGTGGCCGGCAGTGCTTGGGGAAGAATATGGTCACTGGATGGACGGAAAAATAAGCTGCACAGAACACAAAGGTCAAGTCCACGTTTCCTGTGCCCACTGAGACAATCTCAGCCCGGAGTGGAAATCCTTTTGTCAAATATTTATGTAATACACAACACAGTCAGGAAAACAAGAGGTGTTTTCAATTTAAAACCCACGATGCATACAAGAGACGTTTACACAGTGAAGGTGACTGAAACACTGACTGTCGATGTTGACGGAGAGCCTCTGTGCACACTCCCCGTGTGGAGTGATGCCATAAATGCAGATCTGCGCCCAAAGTGCCCACAGCCCAGCTCAGATGGAGGCCGTTCTCCTGCCACAGGTCTGCCAGATTCTGGTTGCCCTGCATGTTCGGGGTGTGAGATACTATTTGAAAGGGAAGATGCGTGTGAAAAACAGCAGAGGGAAACACCAGTGTGAGTGGGTGGGAGACGCCCAGAGAAAGCCCCTCCCACACTGGTTCCTTTTATTTTTTGGATTGTTCTGGGAGTCCGCCTCCCGGTGCAGGTGTTCAGTTTGCAGGCCTGTCTGTTGTTTGGCTGAGAGTTAAGCCACAGGAGTGAGTTCAGCTCCAAGCCCGAAGGGTGACTTGAGGCCATAGTCTCGGGGCTTTCCCCAGACTCCTGCAGAGCAGTAAGCTGGTCTTTTATGTGACTTTGAGTTTTGTTCCACATTTCCTCACACTAGTTTCTGGAGGGAGCTGGGCTGAGCTGTGTCAGAGCAGCTCCCATCTGGTGAGGAAAGTCCTCCGCCGCCATCAAACCTTCATGCTTACAACACACACAATGTGCCCCCAACAGAGAGCTGCAGACACGGTGTCTTTAGCAGGGGCTACAGTGTCCTCCCTGCCCCTCACCCTTCTCCCAAAGGAATAAAGAAATACCATCTGGCTTATAGGGTTAACAGAACTCACCACAAAGTATGGGCAGAGCAAGTAAACCCAAAGTCACCTGAGTGACAGGGTGACTCCAGCATGTAGTCCACAAACTGTCTGACGGTCCAGAATAAAGGCCTGGGATTTGCAAGCTAAGAGGCAAAATCAAGACTACTGTGCAACTACTCTGGCATAGTGCCTACGGCATCTGACTGCTAACCAGAAAGCTAGTGGTTCCAACCCCCCAGCACTCCTCGGAAGGAAGATGGGGCAGTCTAATTCCATAGAGATTCTGCCTCAGAACCCAAGCAGGGGTCGGTGTGATTCAGAACCAACTCAACGGCAGTGAGTTTGTTGTTGTTTTTTAAAAAATATAGCTACTAGAGTAACAGTTTTCACAGTTTTTAACTGATGACATTCAAACCTTTATTTATGGACATGACCTTTGAGTTTCATGTCATTTTCCTATGTCACAAAATATTATTATTAAAATTTTTTTTGAATGATTTGAAAATGTAAAAACCCGTACAGGAGCCCTGGTGGTGCAGTGGTTAAATCACTCAGCTGCTAACTAGAAGGTCACTGGTTTGAACCCAATAGCCACTCTGTGGCAGAAAGATGAGGCAGTCTGCTTCTATAAAGATTTACAACCTTGAAAACCTTCTGGAGCACTTCTACTCTGTCCTACAGGGTCACTATGAGTTGGAATTGACTCAGTGGTGGTGGGTCTGGCTTGGGCTTTGCTTCTGTGAAGACTGACAGCCTTGGAAGCCCCATGGAGCAGTTCCACTCTGTCCTCAATGGATGCTGTGAGTCAGAAATGACTCCATGGCAGTGGGTTTGACTTGGGCTTTGCTTCTGTAAAGATTGACAGCCTTGGAGACCCTCTGGGGCAGTTCCACTCTGTCCTCTAGGGGCACTGTTGGTCAGAATTGACTCCATGGCAGTGGGTGTGACTTGGGCTTTGCTTCTGTAAAGATTGACAGCCTTGGAGACCCTCTGGGGCAGTTATACTATGTCCTCTAGGGTCGTTATGAGTCAGAATTGACTCCACGGCAGTGGGTTTGACTTGGGCTTTGCTTCTGTGAAGACTGACAGCCTTGGAAGCCCCGTGGGGCAGGTCCACTCTGTCCTCTAGGGGCGCTGTGAGTCAGGATGGATGTGACCACAATGGGCTCAGCCTGCCATGCACAATCTGGTGGCAGAGTCCGGATTTGCCCTGAGCTCCAGTTTAGTCACCTCAACAGGAAAGGAGGTGGTGGGGCCATCAAGTCAGCCTGTCTGTGGCTAGTTTTCTCGCAGACATTCTTTAAACCTCCATGAATATATGAAGCCTCACTGGAACATCCCGAATTCCCGCTGCTCACAGCAAAATCAGACATTTACTCGATCTAGAAGCTTACGGTCACATGTTAAACACCATGGAAATGGTATCCAGATAGTAGGCATGGCCTTGGCTGTGTACTAACAAGGCAGAGGCAGATGCAATATGGGAAACAGCAGTCCTCAGCTTCCATCACAATGGCCACACTAGCACTGGGAAAGCAGCTGACTTGGCACAGTGGTTAAAGCGCTCAGCTGCTCACCAAAAGGTCAGCTGTTCGAATCCACCAGCCACTCCATGAGAGAAAGATGTGATGGTCTGCTTCTGTAAAGATTACAGCCTTGGAAACCCTACAGGGCAGCTCTCCTTTGTCTTGTAGGGTGGCTATGAGTTCAAATTGACCTGCCAGCACCGGGTTTGGTTTTTGGTTTGGGCTCTAGAAAAGGCACGAGCCCCCAGCACCACCTGTAACACTCTCCTGTTCTTATCTTGTAGGCTCTCCTATCGGACTGGGCAAGACACAGCTAACTGCGACACATGCAGGAACAGTGCATGTATCATCTACAGGTACGTTCGCCCTCTCCTCTTCCCACTGTTCTGTGATGACTGATGAACAATGCCCACGCTGAATGCAAGAGCTATGTGGCTGCGCTGGGTGGTGGTTACTGCAGCAACCAAGTAAAGGGCCTCCCTTGACCACACTAAACTACCTCTAAACACCCAACCCCAGGTATGGCGTCTCATGGTGAGGCAGCCTTCAACCTCAGTTATCTAGCCATTGCATCTCAGTGGTTCCCACGCAGGGCTAAGGTTGATGGCTTGCTCCCTCAGAATGGGTAGCCATGAGCTGTGTATGGTGTGTTCCAGAAGGGCTGTGAACTACACACCCTTCAGATGGTGCAGGTCACAGGTGGGAAGCCACATTGCATGTGCCAGGAATACCACAACAGGGCTGGGCTGGACACCTAACGTGCCGTTTAGTCTCAGGGAACTGCCGGCTTCTGGCACTCACATCTCCAGGCAGTACCCCTCTTTGAGTCTCCCTGTCTGCTCAGGGTGGGCATTTTTATTTTGTGGTTTGTTTACACTACTGACAACAAGAATGCTGCAGGCAAAAATCGTGTCAGGCTTTAAGAAATGATCTAGGCTTGAAAGACACAGTCAGAACCTGCCGAAGGATGGCCATCTATTTTTTTTTTTCCAGAAATGTAATTTTCACAAATAAAATATGAGAGCAATTAGGAACAATGTGATGATATCAGGTTTTAGAGTGAAGCCTGGGGAGTACTTGCAGCTCAAAGGGACCAAGGGGAACGAGAGCTGTGTGGTTGTGCAGTGAGATACGTGGCAGCGAGCCCTCCCCAAAAATGGCCTCTAAAAAGATCTCCAAAGCAGCCATCCTCTGAGCAAGACGACAGTGAAGGGGAAAAGCACAAACGTCTCAAAATGCAGGTCGTCCTGCTTACTATGTATCCAAGTGAGACAAATTGACCAACCGCACTTACTACGTATCCAAGTGACAACAACTGCACTTACCACCATCCCATCTTTTTTATTTAAAAGTATCTAACTGATAGCAATACATACAGTGTTGCAGCGTGCAATCCATCATGCTAATCCCTAAAGACTGGATTGAGAAGACTACTGATAATAAAAGACAGTAATAATGAAAGCTAAAAAAAAATAAAATAAGATACAAACGAGGCATTTCACTTTCATGAGAACAGACTTACCAGATTCATAGAAGAGGAACCCTGGTCTAAGTCGGGGACTCCCTGGACAGCAAATGAGTGCGAGGCCACCCCAGTCTCAGACCCACCGAGTCCTCTCCTCAGGAAGGCATGGATATGGCAGGACACATCACCACTCAGGGCAGAGCACTGAGAGAGGGCTCCAGGTTCTGAGTGCAGACTTGGGTCACCTGCTGGCCTGTCTGGAGCAGGCAGAGAAGCCTGTGGCAGTGAGGAACACAGGGTGCCATGCTCGTACGTGCCTTGGCACAGAGGTTCTCAGCAGGGCATGATTTTGCCTCCCCAGGGGCACCAGGCATTGCCTGAAGACATCTTCATGAACTCTAGTGGTGTAATGGTTAAGTGCTTGGCTGCTAAGTGAAAGGTCAGTGGTTCAAACCTAGCAGTCGCTCCACAGGAGAAAAATGAGGCAGTGTCCTTCTATAAAGGTGACAGCCTTGGAAGCCCTGTTGTGGCTTCTTGGAGTTCTTCTCTGCCCTGCAGGGTTGCTGCGAGCAAGACTCAACTTGATGACAATGTTGTTTGTTTGTTTGTTTTTAATATTACAAATAACTAAAATTCAACAGGTCCTCTTCACAGTGGTGACTGGCCATGGACAACAGTCTTCTGAGGTCCATAGGAATAAGTGACAAAGACAAGGCAGAACAGAACCTCATGTCTAGAACTAGGAGGACGTCAATTCATTGAAAAGCTAATCAAAGGGCATGGTCATAAAGCCATTGGCCTCACTTCAACATTTACTTCATTGGTCCTTACACTGAAATCACATGTTTCCATGATTTAGAGTCAGGGCAGTATCTGAGCAAGGCCCAGGTGGGCACACCCCACTGGAGTTCCCCAGAGCTCCATGTTGACTTCAGAGAACCACACCAGTTTCCTGCTTGAAAGTGACCCAAGGCCTTGTGATTTCAGAATTCCTTAGGACGCATACTCGATTTGCCCACAACCTCCTCATACTCAGCATTTATTCACACCCTTCTCCTTCCGAAGCATCAACTCACATTAACACCAATTCTCTCTTGTCTCAATTATAGTTCGCTGGTTTACATCACATTCAAATAAACTGCACCATTTCAATCAGAAATACCAATGGCACAGATGAGTCCAGGAACAATTACCAGAGCATCCTCTTGGTAAGCACACAGCTTCAACAGCAGGAGCAGAGGGTGGCAGGCAAATGAGAGAGACACCCATCAACCAGGCCTTGCTGGCGGTGTTAGCTGGCTCACTGACTGACATGACCTTGCTATCATGGACTGCTGTTGAGTAGGATTCGGACCCAGAGTGACCCCACCAACCTAAGGTTTTCTAGGCTGTAATCTTAATGGGGGGAGCCCTGGTGGCACAGTGGTTAACATTTAGCTCCTAGCCACAAGGTTGACAGTTCAAACCCACCAACATCCCTTTGGGAGAAAAGACCTGGCAGTCTGCTCCCCTAACTTAACTATAATTACTCTCTGGGATGAGGTACATCCCTGAGGGTCCCGATTTGCCTTAAAAGGGGAGAGGATGCATCTAGAGGGATTCAGCAAGATTTCTCACTCCAGCCAGCCCCCTGATCCAACCCTCAAATGTCAGAGCAGGGATTGCTTTGGGGTGAAAGCACCCAGAACCCAGTAGTCCTGAAGCAGGAGAAGCCTTGGCTCTGTGACAGAGCACATAGGCAACCAAGGTGAGTTGGGGAACTGTCCAAATTCCAAAGGCTGCGTTGCCCTAAGTCCAATTCACCCCTCATCATGGAAGCCTACAAACAAGTTCTGCTTCAGTTCTTGCATAGAACTCCACAGAGAGAATGTTTTACCAGAAGGGGAATATGTACCTCAAGGTCAGAGACCCTGCAGTTGGTTTAGAGCCCGGCTAGGGCATTTGGGCGCTCAGATACCAGGTTCTCCATCCTATAATCCAATGTTTCCCAACACCAGCTGACATCACCCCCATCCTCTGGGTCCCTCCCATGGGCTCCTGGGAGCACAATGGCAATGAGTAGGTCAAAGAAAATGCCAGATGACTGTGGACTCCTGGAGAACCCAGAGAATGTGAGGCTTCACAGCTGCCACTGTCCAGAGGCTGCAGTTTGTCACACTGGTCTGCTGGCAGGCCGAGAGCCCAGCGGTCACAGAGCTTGACCCCACTTGTCTCGCGTTTGCACACTGCCATTAGAAACCCAATTACCAAGAAGCACGAGAACTGGATGGGTTTCCACTACCACATGGGCCAGAGAGATGAGAGGGTGCGGTGTTCAAGAGCCCACTGCTGCTGTGCCATCCAGGCAGCTGGGTGATAGGGCTGTACCTTGCACCATGGGTAGTGAGATACACTTCTCCATTAAAAACAAGTCTGTCAGGGAAATACACAGCACTTGGAAGAAAACATCCAAAGAAAAAAAGATGTTCAAGCAATTTCTTGGGGAAAAAAAGGCTGCCAGTACCAGGAGCAAAAGGTAAATGGTTGTTGGAGACTTCATCTCCCAGAGCCTGCTGCTCAGACAGCCAGCGTCTCAGAGGTCAGGCCTGAGCATTGGCTCCTTCTCTTTGGCTTATTGCTGTCAGTTGCTGGCATGTCACCTCCGTCTCCCAGAGACCCCATGTGTTGGAGCACTGTTCCACAGGGTTTTCAGTGGCTGACTTTTCAGAAGGAGATCACCAGGCCTTTCTTTCAAGGCACCGCTTGGTGGCTCTGAACTGCCAACTTTTTGGCTAGTAGTCTAGCACTTAACCATTTGAGCTACTCAGTGGCTCCCACTCTTTGGCCAGGTATCCATTAAATCATTCAATCCTGCAGATTTCCCTACATAATCAGCAAATCCCTTTGGACACTGAAATCCTCTGAACCTGTAATTTCCAATCATGAAAGCCATGGGTCTGAGAGCATTAGCTGAACGGAATGAGAAGTGGAAGTGTAGACAGTCACCAAGCACTTCACCGAAGAACACCCTTCCCTTCACTTGTCCGTCGATCTCAGTGGGGCTGAACATCCATTTGCTGGTACAGAAACAACTGGCAGCTGAGTAGCCCATGGAACCCTGAGTCTGAAAAGTTGAATAGTTTTGATAACTGGGAGTTTTGAGGTGGTTTACACATTTCCCTGTTTTTCTCAAGATGACATTCCTTCAATTGTGATCTGGACCAACTGTGAGATTCTAATTAAGGACCAGCTCAGCATGAAAGCTGATTAAAGGGGCATCGAGTTTCCATTTTCTTAAGTAAAATCTTCAGGCTGAGCATCCATATTCCCTGTCAAAATACGCTGTAATTATTTCAGAAAACATTTGAAGGATAAATTACTAGGATAATCTTTGCTCACAATCATTGGGTCTTTTGTACCCAGCCCATCTTGGTAACTCTTCTGTCAGACACTCGGGTGAGTCATCCTATTGTGATGCACCTTTTGTTCCGGTTCTGTTTCAGAAGGAGCTAGGAAACGTACCCTCGGCAAGTCCATCTCTTCCTTCTTTTCCCGAAGTGGTTAATTCATAAACTAAGTCTGCAAGAAAATAGCTTGCATTCAAATTTGTTCTTTCTTATGGAAATAGCATGTGCCAACCTCAATGCAAAAGCTTTTGGGGATGAAAGCAGGTTTTTAAAAATAATAATCATGCTGACTCAGATTAATTAAATAAGTATCTTTAGCAGAATGTAAAATCTTCCTGTAAAGTATTAGAATTCTGATCATCAGTTACAAGACTCGAAGGGACTGGAGTCTGGGAGGACCTGCCCATGCCTTCTTTATTTCTTTTGTCTGGCCACCTCGAGCAGGCCTTGGGTAACAATAACTATGCAGCAGGTCAATGTCTGGGTTTGGAATGAACGAACATGG